TTTTACAGTATTTATCGTCAAATGAGTGGGCCTGAGCCTATGACCCTGCTACTGAGGTACACTCACATTCACTCTTAACATGTCCCATCCAGGGGCATGGCAGTGCTGAAATCCTGGCAGGTGAACCACAACAATTTCTTTGTGGTTCCATCTTTCTTTCTGAAGCTTTCTTTTGACTTGAGCTTGTTAAACTGTTTCTCAGAGAGAGAGAGAGAGAGAGAGGGGGAGAGAGAGGGCATGAGCTTCTCTGTATGGTTTTGCATACCTATCAATATGCGTGTTTATATTATATTTTAAGCAATGAAAATTTAGGCGTTTGCTCAATGTCATTAGTCATTAGGAAAGTCTAAGTCAGTACCACTTCACACCTACTCAGCTTGCTAAAACGAAAAAGGTGGATAAAAACAAGCAGTGTTAAGGATGTGGAGACATTGGAATCCTCATACACCGCTGGAGGGAATACAAAATGATGCCGAAATTTGGAAAATGGTTTGGCATTTCCTCAAAGAGTTAAACATAGAGTTACCATATGACCCAGCAATTCCACTTCTAGGTATCTAAGAGAACTGAAAACGTGTGCCTACCAAAAAAATATATACATGAATATTCCTAGCAGCATTATCCATTCAAGTCAAGAAGCAGAGACAACCCAAATGTCCATCAACTGGTGAACGGATGAACACTGTTATTATCAGATGCCCCTTTGGGGATATAGGGCATTTTAACTGAAAATTGAGACATTTACCACTCTAGTAAATTCTAATGATGAAGTATTTTGTGCTTTGTACGTAGAATTGAAAATCACTGTAATTAGATTTTTTTCCCCTTTTTATAAAACTCCTTTCTCTCCCCTTTGAGACACATTGGTTTCCCAAGTTACGATTTCAGTTTCTTTTGTTTGTTTTAGCCACTTAGCTTTTCTTATTACATACCTGTTTAATTTTTAATTTCTTATTAAAAGTAGATATGGCTATTTTTCCTTTCAATATTTCAAGAAGTCTTCCATTTCTCTCTGTCACAACTTTGATACAGTGCTATCTAGTATGTATTACTACATAATTAAAATGCCATTTTTTAATCAAATAGTTCTGGCAAAACAACCTATTAAATACACTTTACATGGATCAGAGGTTTATTTCTGTAAAGTTGAGATAAATGTTATAAACATTCTTCTGGAACTAAAATGTAAATGGAATAGTATGCATAGTGCTATGGGGAAGGTCGCTACAATTGCAGGAAAAATACTTAGAAGATGAACAGATCGTAGTCTTTTCAGTCAGTCTTATTTATTGTATAATGTGGATATATTAAAAAATACTCATTTTGAGTCCTTGGGCAAAGAACTTGTAAGCACTGACTATATGCCAGTCATTGTACTAGGCTCTGGGTAATTAGTGGTAATCAAAACAAAGTGATTCTGCCCTTGGCCATTTCTGCTGCAATCCCGGAGTTCCTGTGTTGGGAGCACCTTGTGGAGGGAGCACCGTGACTGGGGCAGAGACCAGAGAGGTGGGCGGGGTAGTGGTTGTCACAAGTGTGTGGTTATGGTGAAGAGTTTGGACTTTATTCTAACTGTAATGATAGGCCATCGCAGGCTTACTGCAGGGAAATCCAACTTCAGTTTTACAGGGATTATTCTGGGCGGTGGTGGAAAAATGGTTGGTGGGTTGTAGGAGGATAAGCAGAGAATCCAGTTAGGGAGTTTGTTATAATCCAGGCAAGGTATGACTGTGGCCTAGATTGGAGTAGGTCTCAAGAGCTAGAAAGAAGTAGATTGACAGAAACTGTGGACGAATTAACGAAGTGTGGTGGATGGGATGGGAGGATAGGAGGGCGATGAGGGTAGAGGGCGGGTCAGGGATGTTTGCATCCTGACTTGAACAGCAGGGGAGCGGGAGATTCTGTATCCTGAGATGCTGAACACAGAGGAGGAACAGAATTGGAAGGGATGGGTCCAGCGTTCAGCTTGAGGCAGGTTGAACGTGAGGGAAGGATGGGTTTATGAGCTGGGGGAGTGCAGAGACTAGCCTGCTCTTCCTTGGGCTGTGGTAACTGCTTTATGGTCCGGGTACAAGTTAGAATAAATAAATCACTTCCCAAACCAAACAGGCTGAACTGGTTTCCAGCTTATAGATGAGTTGCTATAACCGATCATGCCTCTGTGGTCTCTCTTACAGCTCAGCAGTCTGAACGTTTTTATATATTTGATGAGCAGAACAAAACAACATTCATTTACAGTCAGTGCTGGCTTATTGTGATCTCTTCTCTTTGGTATTCTTAGAACCCTGCCTGCTGGGCCCACAGGGTCAAGTTACAGATGTGACCTTCGCATGGACCACATGGATTTTCTGTGACCCTGTTAGAGGCTGCATCCCTCACTTTTGAAGGCTGACTTGATAGCTTATTTGGAAGGAAAGTGGGCCATAGAGTTGGTATGAAATATGCCCATTTATTTGTGCTACTGAACACCCCAGACTTACATTCTATCCACACTGGTACTCTAGTGGCCTTTATTTGTAATCGTGGAGCCCAAAATATATTCTGCACTTCTCAAATTGGCTATGGTTCTGTCTGCCTTCCCATTGAGTATACATTTGTTGGGAACGTGAACCACATCATTTTATTCATCCTTTGATTTTCTATAGCCAATATTTTTATTTTTTTCAGCAAATAGAAATGGGTCATTTAGGGGCTGAGATAGTGAGGGTTTCTGTTCTTTGTGATACCTCTGCTGTCTGGCATGGAGACCGGCATGTGCTTGGCACTTGATATTTATTAAACAGATGAGTGACCTAAGGAATGGCTAAGTAGACATTTTGTGAGAAGGTGGGGGTAATTCAGTTTTCGGAAACCAAGAGATCAGACAGGCTGTATTCTTCCAATAAGATTATGCCCCTGCAACCTACTGAGAAATCAAGGGTGCAAAATAGAAATTTGGGGATCCAAATGACAAAACGAATTTTAGAAGCCACGAGAGTAGAATTGCATGAGTGTGTGTTGAAGAGAGCAAGAATAGAGGCAGAAGGAAAAGCAGAGGAAGGGGGATTGCTGGGGGGAGAGGGGGTGTGTGGCGCTGCAGGAGAGCACAGGGTCCCAGGGAGGCAGGGGCCTTCACCAGCCGAAGGTGGTGGTGAGAGGGATGCTCAGGGAAAGGAACCACTGGATTTGGGCAGAAGTCAAGCAAGTGCAAAACGAGCCTGGGTGCAGTGTGAAATACTATTGAGGAAGTTCCACTATCTTTTTGTTTATACTGCTCATCACTAATGATTCCCATCGCGGTGGAGGGGGGTCATTTTTCTTAAGCAAAGACCTAATTAGTTTTGATTCTGTGCTGTGCATAGCCTGGCATCATAGGACACTATTTATACTGAGATTGAAGGGTTCATTTTGCGATTTCTTGTAAGCTGATTACTTAATGATCAAGGCCAGATTTTTCCATTGCTCCTATTATAGGTATTGAGGTTTGATATTAAAATTATTTAGGGAATGTTGCAAAAAGAGTAATTGGAGATTTGAAAATCGACTTGAATGTCAATGTGAAAAATATAGACTATTTCTCTAAAATAGCCTGGGAGCTCTTCAGTTGAGATTTTATTAAGTTCTCTAGTTCCTGAGAATGCTACAGAGCTATAATAATAAGCCCATAGCAATAAAAAAAAAACTTGGATTGTGCTAATAACGGGGATGTACACAAACGCATACATACATTAATGTGTAATTTTTTCTTGGTCATTTCTTAGAATGCATATGGGAAGAGGATGGGGGGAGTACCTTTGAGCCTTATTAGGATGCTACCATTTGCAAAGCTTTTTCACATAGGTGAGATTACCTTAGAGTATTGAAAAGTGTAGCCACTGTATATTTAGCATCTGCTTCGTTCCAGACGTGTTACAGTAATCCTGGGAAGGAGGTATTATCATTTCTAGTTTAAAGTGAAGAAAGTGAAGTTCAGAGAGTTTAAGTAATTTGCCCTAGGTCTCAGAGCTTCTAAGTAGAACTGTAACCATTTTTGCCCCCAAGCTCACATACCTTCCAGTGTCCTGTCCGAATGAGAATCTTTAGGGGATCAGATAAGTCACATATTTGGTTGGGAGCCCAAGAAGCTCCACAGAGAAAAACCACTAGATGAGAACTTTTCCCAGCATCCTGACCCTAATCTGCCTCTTGACCCATATCTGCAACTGACATTTTTCTTCTTCCTTCCTGTTACTATGGAGAAGGCTGGTTCCCTCTAAGGACTTGATTCTTTTTGTGTATCTTTTGCATCTTTAGTCTGTGTCTCTTTCTTTGCCAGCTTCTTCCCATAAGCATAACCGAGGCCCCCACCAAAGCAAATACCTTCTGTATTGGTTAGTAATTGCTGCATAACATAGCACTCTAACACTTGGCAAAGCTACAGACTGATTTATTTAGCTCACTGTTCTGTGGGTCAGCAAATTAGGCTGGGCTCTGCCGGACTCACTTTTGTGACGATATAAAGCATCCTAGCCATTGATAACTGGCGATATAGAGTAGAAGATAGTAAATGCTTGCATTTTAAAACCTGCCTGTGGAAGTTTAAAAACTTTGGGGCAGACTTATTGAATATATCAAAATTGAATATTTCTTTAAAAAAAATTAAGGGGATAAAGAATCCTGTTCAGCATCTGGAGTAGAACTCATTATTAAATATTTACACACTATCTTTGTAGGGTTTTTATGAGGTTACAAGCTTATTTATAAGGAAGACAAGTCTTTTTTTCATGGCATATTTGTCAGAGAAAGCATACCCATCCATTAACTGGTCCTTTGGGATTTGGGAGAAAATTCCTATTTTAGAATGTTAAATGAGGAAGGATGGCAGCCAGCATCCTGATGTTACTCTGGAAGATACTAAAAAAAAATGTTTCTGTCAGATGGGAGGTGGGGTATATATAATGTAAGCTCATCTTTAAATGAGTATGCCTTATCAGTTTATTAAGTCTTCATTGATGGATTTCCATGTGCATTTTGTGTTTTAGGTTCAACTGCCTATATATCTTTCCCGATTCCTAAAACCTGATCACATTTTCCCAATACTGGGTTGATAACCTAACCATGCAGCGGAGATCAAGGGGAATTAACACTGGACTGATTCTGCTACTCTCTCAAATCTTCCATGTTGGGATCAGCAATATTCCACCCGTCACCCTAGCAACTTTGGTTCTCAACATCTGGTTCTTTTTGAATCCTCTGAAACCGCTGTTTGAGTCCTGCCTTAGCGTGGAGAAGTGTTACCAGCAAAAAGACTGGCAGCGCTTACTGCTTTCTCCCTTTCACCATGCAGATGACTGGCATTTGTATTTCAACATGGCATCCATGCTGTGGAAAGGAATAAATCTAGAAAGAAGACTTGGAAGTAGATGGTTTGCCTACGTCATCGTCACATTCTCCCTACTCACTGGAGTGGTGTACCTGTTCTTAGAATTTGCTCTTGCAGAATTCATGGATGAACCTGGCTTCAGAAGGAACTGTGCTGTAGGTTTCTCAGGTAAGGCAGGCACATTTCTAAGGGAGCATGCATGAAGACAGTAAGGGAGGTGTGACTGTTGTCATTTTATGAAACGGGGGTCCCTGTTTGGGGAGCGGACTGAATTCTGAGTGGCTAAGGATCGCTGGGGCTTGGATTTTGGAGAGAAGGATGATTGGAGCAGAGGAGGGACATAGATCTTGCTATTCTATTTTAACGCCGCATCATTCACTCTTGGACAGTTTGGACCAGGGTCTGCTGCAAGGTAGTTTTGGAGGAGATAGTTCTAGAAATACACACTGGCTCCTTCATGGTGGAAAGACCCACTGGTGTATCTGTGATAAGGAATTCTCTAGAACGATGGGTATGCCTCTCAGTAACAGCATTAAAATACACGTACGACACCTTACCATGGCACGCTCACTATGTTTAAGGGACCATGATAGTCACTCTGCCTGTATCTCGGAGGACGGAATGGCCATCGGGGCCAAAATGAGGTAGTCTAAGAGTTAGAATGTGACGGGCAGGAGGGAAATAGTGCTGGAACAGAAGAAAATCTAACTCTTCCCTCTACTTTCCCTGCCATCTGGCCCCCTTTCCTTTTAGATACATCCTCATGCAGCCAGTTGTGGGAAAGAAAGGAAACATGCCCTGCCCTCAACATGTCTTTGCATAGAAGTTCGAAAAATACACATTACTGCTATTTTTTTTCATGGACTTAAAAATCATGATGCATAGGGCACCTGGGTGGCTCAGTTGTTAAGCGTCTGCCTTTGGCTCAGGTCATGAGCCCAGGGTCCTGGGATCAAGCCCCGCATTGGGTTCCCTGCTCGGTGGGAAGCCTGCTTCTCCCTCTCCCACTCCCCTGCTTGTGTTCCCTTTCTCGCTGTGTCTCTCTCTCTCTGTCAAATAAATAAATAAAATCTTTTAAAAAGAAATCACATAGCAAAAAATTAACAATGCTGACGTGAACAGTTAAGTGGCATTTAGTACCATTTCAGGTGTTTTATTCCCATTTTACATGTTGTATATTTTCTAGCATACTGAAAGTCAGTATGAACTTCTGCATTAAGAAACATCAAAAGAATGATTACCTTGAACATATTTGTCTTTCTACCAAAAGCTGGGTTGACTTGTAAAGAAGAGAGTGTTTCAAAACAAGAAGGGGGATTAAGTCAAATAATCATTTTTGCATTCAGTTAGTTTTCTTTGTTAAGTGTGGATTATCTCCACATTTGGATTGTTGATATTTGTGTGCTCTTTATTCTCTTCTAGGAGTTTTGTTTGCTTTGAAAGTTCTTAACAACCATTATTGCCCTGGAGGCTTTGCCAACATTTTGGGCTTTCCTGTACCCAACAGATTTGCTTGTTGGGCAGAACTTGCGGCTATTCATTTCATCTCACCAGGGTAAGTGTTTACTCCCAGAGAATACAAATGAAGAACCTGATGTTCCGTGGAGAAAGAATTGCAATAATAATGAGGTAACCAGTTGGGTTTTTTTTTTTTTTTGCAGTGAAGTTTATTCTTTAAGGACGGCACTGAGCTTATTTGTTTCAATGTCATTCCTGAGTTTGAATCCTGTCAACTACTGAGCCCTGTGATTTTGGTCACTGTGCCTTATCTGACGTTCAGTGCCCTTACCCTTTAAGTAGGAATAAGAGAACCCAATATACAGATTGGAGGATCTGTATCAATGAGACTATCTATTCATGAATTCTAATAATAGTAATGCAGAGAGGCACGTAGAAACCACATAATCATAAAGATAAAAAATCACAAGACATGTTGGTCCAGTGCTTTTAAGGCATCTCAGTTGTGAGGTGTCTTGGTGATAGAACTCTTTAAACAAAAGACTTGACTCACAACCTCAATATGTAAAATGGATCAGTGATGCACTCTTTAAGGTTGAGAGCAAGCATGGGGCCCCATTCCCTTTGCCTTACCCCCTGTGCTCCAAGCAATACAGTGGGAGAACCATTGATCTAGATGAATCCCTTCCTTTTCGGATGAGGACAGGAAAAGTCATGAGGTTAAGGTACTTTCCAAACAGCTCCTGGTAGACACTAGCGTAGTAAGGTTGCAGACCTCCTGACTCCTGGTCTGGTGCTCCTGACTGGGGTGCTATGCTTTCCCACTTTGGTTCCTTTCTCTGCTTTTGTTTAGAAAAGGGAGGGTGAATTGTGCTTTTCTCCCACCTCCCACCAGTTTCCCTTCTCTTAGTCTGTATAGGCTACTGGAAGCACATGGTTTTTTGTTTATTTTTACTGTAAGCACCTAGATACTCTTTGGAGAAGGGGGAAATTCAGGAAGATTCAGGAAGAAGTAAGGAGGTGTGTTTTTTTGTTTTGTTTTGTATTTTTGGCCACTTTTCTTTTCAGACAGCAGTTTTATTTTGCTTTTGGTTCGTGTGGGTGTGTTGGGTATTGGACTCTGATAATTTTCTCTTTGTGCTGTGCCTCAGCCCAATAACCTCCAGAGAGAGTCCCTTCTCTGATGCTGACTTCCCATCATGGGCAGCCATTGGCAGCTGGTCTGCAAAAGGCAGGGATGTGACCACTGAGCACCACTCATTTGCAACTGTATTGTTACCTTGTGACAGTTCCACGAAGAAAGCCTAACAAAATCTTCAAAGTTTTCTTTGAAAAAGGGCCCAGTAATGTCTGTCCCTTGTCTGAACAGGCCTCTCTATACCTTGTCACTCACAGTTCCCTGGCTTGCTTGATGTGACTTGGTTCTCTGTGTAGACGCGAGACTCTTGTTTGTGACCGCAACACCCAACATTCATATTGAAATCACTCCCTCTGATACTTGAACTTTTATTCCACGATGAGTCCGTTTGAATGGCTGTGCCTTTAATATTCTCATGCAACCATTTCTGAAGACTCTCAGTCATCATGCACTTTATTTTTTTTTAGCGTTTCCCCCCCCCCCTTTCCCTGGAAAAGGCATGGTTGCATTTTTATGTAATATGCTTATTCTGCATGGAGGGACCTGATATCCTGAACCTGGGAATTACATGAAATTTCCTATCTTTGAAGTTTGAAAGAATAAATCTCTTTTGGTGTTTTAAGATTTGACTACTTTGAATGATAAACTTCTGATACCCAAGCATCTGCTTCTGCCTGCGTCTACATAAAGACCAAGCTAAACACTGGTCCAGGAAACTAAGAAGTGAGTGCTTCTTTGAGATGGATCTTGGAAGAATGGGAGAGACCAGGGCTCTCTTTGCTCTGCATTGTTGCTCTCCTGCTGGTTGTCAATTAGATTTGCACTGGGAAAACACTGTAAATCTTTAGAACAAAGCCCGCTTTATTGTCAGACTTAATGAGCTGCCCTCTGGGGAGAAAAAAAAAACCTGCCAAGCAAACATTTGGTGGACCTCTGTGTTTTATGAAAGCCACGGAATTAGTAATTTCCCCCAGTTACAGCGTCTTATGGAGGCAAGCCACTCCAAACAGCCGGCTGTTCGTTGGGCACTGTGAGGGGCTGGACTTGACCAGCGGAGTGAAGGAATCACACTCATAAGTGGTGCTTTTGCTTTTCACAGTCCTTGTTTGTACCTTGTTTTCCGTGATTGCTGTGCCTCACATGGTCCTTTCATTCCCTGGCGTGTCCTGGGATCCTGCTGGGGAGGGGACTGTGTTTGAAGAAGTGTCCCTTTCCCTGAGGCGGCCCAGCAGGGACGTGTGCGGGCCCCTTCAGGAGGCTGCCTCCTTGTCCACTGGCTCTTGGTCCTTCCTGCCTCCTCCCCGTCCTGTTGATGGAAGAGAGGGGGTCTAATGCCAAGTGTTGCCTCCAACCTCTGCAGTTTCTCATATGGACCCAAGGCTATTTAGTCCCAAACTGAAGCTCAGAGAAATGAGCGTTGCCCACCGCGAGACAGCCCCTTAGTGACCCTGCTGCAGGTCAGTGGTCACGTGTGAAGGAGCTGGGCCCGCCTGCTAGCCGTGGGACCTAAGGGGACTCCTGCAGCCTCTCTGAGCCTCATTTTCCTCCTCTGCCCATTGGGAATATTACTTGCTTTCTCTGTTTGCTAAGTCTGTTTTAAGGAGTCCAAGAGGTGGTCTAAATGAGGGTGTTTATAAATTATAAAGTACTTCACTCATCATTTTTATTATGAGATAAGTCACTGGGAGTGTGTAGTGTCCCTGAAATGAATCCTACTTCTTTTTATTCCTAAAATCAATAAAGTAAGTCAAACAGAATTTTGTTTGCTTCAGTTCTGTCTCTCCCCTGCCCCGTTGTTCCTGCTTGACTTTTCCGCCCAGAATGGCAGTTAGCAGTCTAAAAATTCCCTTGGGCTACTCATAAACACAAATTAAGCAGGCCATGGCTGCATTTAGACCCTGGGAGATTCTTCCGTGTAATATGGCTGTTCTGAAAACATTAGCCCCTGGGCTTTGGTACTGCTTCACTGCTAATGTCTGATGAGAGGAATTACTCTGACTCCGAAAAACTTCTTGGTTAGATTGACCAAGTGAAAGAAAAATAGATTTAATACATGTTTTTTACTTATTTCAGTTTTTTAACTGTAAAAATTTTCAAACATAAAGAGAAGTTGCTAAACCATTTGAAAGTTAGTTGCAAACATGAGGCTAACTTCACCCCTAAGAACTTCTAGCGTGTGTCTCCTAAAAATACATTGCTTTATATAAACACATTACTGTTGTCATATTGAAGAAAATTAACAGGAGTTCCCCCAGTGTTGTTTAGTGATTAGTTTAGATTTAAAATTCCCCATTTTTCAAACATCTTTTGTAACTGTTGTGCTTTTTGGGGGGAGGGGGGTAGAGATGTAAGAGGATTAGGATATAGTTAAAGTTCGCACATTTGATTACATTTTTTTGTTCCCTTTTACTCTAAGGCAGTCCTTCTACCTTTTTATTTTCCTATGACATTGAGAAATAACTCATGGAAGAGTTGTGAAGAGACTAGATTTTGTAGAATGTTCCAACTTCTAGATTTCTTGTTTACTTGTAGGGTTACTTAACTCCTTCCTTTAGCCCCTGCATTTCTGTAAACTGGGAGGTAGGTACAAAGGTTTACTTACATTCAGATTAAACTGGGTTGTTGGCAAGAATACTTCATAGGGGTGATGCCATAAGCCTACCCAAGACCATATTGCATCATGACAGGAAGGACATGATGCCTGATTGTCCCTCTATTAGGAATTCTAAATTTGATCAATTAGGATAGTCTCCGTTGTGAGGATACATCTGTCCCTTTGCAACTTAGAAAGTAATCTGTGGGGTGATAATTGGACATCATGCAGATAGCTTGTTAATAACCTTCTACCTTTTCAGTATATGTTAGGGGGAGCTATGAAGAATGATTTTCTAAATCTATCATTCCTTCTACATTTATTAGGTGGGGTTAATCCAGGGTTAGAGGTTAAGACCCAGAGGCAAGGGATTAAGGAAGATGAGTGTTCTGTCAAGGGAAGATCTGATTTTGGTAGGCTTGAAGCTATTCAGTTTTGTGGGTTCTTTTTAAGAAAAAAAAAAAAAATACAAAATTGGAAACAAAAGTAAGAATTTTAAATGACAATACAAAGCACAACAATTTATAAATTTTAAAGAGCTGACAAATACCATAAACATTATAAAATCCCTAAAAGTAATATAATATTCTGTTAACTCCCTGGCAGGCCTTTATAATATTTTCCCCCAGGTTTGGCTGAGTGCTTTTGATCTCTTCTTCATCTGACAGTAATTTGGCAATAACATTTCTGTAGAGAGAATAGCATGGTGTATCAAAATTAATTCTTTATCGAAAGTTTAGGAGAACTTTTACAGCTTTTGTAAATTTTTAGCATTGTTTTCTGATTTGGAAAAAATCTCCATCAAAGCGTTTTTACATAGAAGCTATAAAATTTCAGGGCTTTTCAAGATTATTTGTGCAGTGACCAATATCTAGTGTACTTTGAATGATTTGAGTGTTGTCCCTGATCTTCAGTGGCATGGTAGGAGATTCAAGTTTTCTTCACTGATACTAATACTTTGTGCCAAATCAACAAGAAATTTAAATATTAAAGCTCTTCATTAATTGGATTACCAGAACTCTAAGAGCCTATTTATTCCTTCAGTTTACAGCTTTTGATTTGATTTGAAAATATTTTTGAAAGCTACAAACACAGGAATTCCAATAAAGTTGATTTTGCATGATTCTCAAAAAAGAAGCAGAAAATGGATGGCGCATTTATGATTGCAAACGCTGCGTTACTGAGTAGATTCCTGGCAGAAGAGAGTTTCTGTTTCATGGCTGTTTTTACTGTGTATTAGTGGGAACTGAATTCCCCCATTTATAGTTCTACATGTTTGGTGATCGGGAGAACTTTCCAGACACTGGGCTCTGACACTACATTGGTGGTGCTCGCTGCCCCAGGACACTTGAGAGTGCCGAAGGAC